TTTTGAAAGTATTTCCGCAGTTTTGATTTTGCATGAAACTGAGCAACTAATTCTCGTTTCTAACTCTGATACGATTTTTTTCATATGATAATCTTGCACACAGCTGCAAGTCAAAATAGATTAATGCGCATAGTATTCATCACTAATAAAATTATATGCGTCATTCATACTTTCTTGATTTATTTACATTAAATTATTCATTTCTGAGGTTAGAAAATTTTACGAACAGTATGAATTTTATTCGAGAACCTCCAAACGTTTCAACTCAAGCCAGAACCATTACCTACCAACAAATGCAAGAACAACGTTCAACGTCCGCATATCGATAACGCTCAAGAATCACGAACATTATTAGATATAACAGTTTGATGCAGTTCTGTGCAGAGTTGAGGTTTTAACGGTTCTTTCACTATTGAACATATTAGACATACTTGATTAAGGAAAAGCTTAAGATTTTGCGTTGATGACAAGCAAAAGATTCCAAGTTGTTCTTCATGCCTGCAGTGTTTGCAAATCAACGGCACTGTTTTATTTCTTGACGTTGCGTAGAAGATTCTCCTGCCTTCTTTTGGATCTAATTAGGGTATTCTTTAAAACCTATATTCTTTCTTTTGCGTTCGCTGTTCATTCATTGCAAAAGCTGTTTCCCTACAGATGCCTTCGGTTTGTCATGGCGTAGTTCACCATTTCAACTAATCTCTTCTTTAATATTTCATTTTTATATTTGCTTCTTGCGTCCATATATATGGCCTTTCTTTCAGGCGGTTTGTTGTTCACATAATTTTACGGATCTGTCGAAGGCAATCACTGTACTTCTCTAAAGTTTGCACCACTCCTAATCACTTTCTTTCAAGGCACTTGCCTTCTTGGCATGTAGGGACAGAGTCCAGCACCCTGTCTGTCGATCGAGAATCATTGATACGCTGCAGATCATAGATAGGGCTTGATAATTAATCGAAAATATTCAGTACCCGGAAACTGGCGGAATTTTCATGATCAAAACAAAGTCCGCTTCCTTAAAGCGAACATAATTAATACGGTGATACTGTTATCGCGTTAGACGCGTAGTTCATTAATACTGACAATACAATTTATATGCATATTAGTAGCGTGTGCACGGTAGCAATGCTGACGCTTACGCAGAGTGAGTTTCTTGGAGTTTCTGATTGGACGACAGGTTAGAAGACGTTATTTCATACTATATAGTGAAATAGAACAAGTTCGATCAGAGATATATGCGTAGAAAATGATGCTTCAATGAATCCAGACAGAAGTAGCATACATTTAATACAGTCCTTGTTAAAACCGTTAATGTTTCCAAGAACTGAGATTAGCCATTCTTGGGACAAACCCACTGTTCGTTGCATCAGAACATCGACTGCAGAAATTGCCATCTGCCTATACACTCTATCTAGAACCGTTCAAGTGTCTTTTTAGATATGAATATAGATATGAAATGAGTCTTAGAAATCATACTTGTCTGTTTCACTTGCTACCTAATATTACTTCTTTAGTGTAGAAAATTATGACATTGGGTCAATGCTGTTTCAGCGAAGGTTAAACACAGTCTAGTTATTTTTCTTGGTACGGTAGTCTATGGAATATATTAAAAGTTTACTTTTACATCTACTCCTAGCTGTTAGAATGTCACGTCTTCGTTAAATAGCTTACCAGTCAGCTTTGCAACATAAATTCATTAAGGTTAGACTGAAACGTTTAAGTATATCCATTGCGTCTCGTATTCAAGTTTTTTTCATAAGTGCCTGCGACAAAAACTCCACATTTCAGAGATTATAATGATGACTGAATTGCAGATTCTGAAATTCACGCAAACGCTTGGCATTAAGCTAATAGACTGTAATCGAATCCGTTTTGGTTCATCCATATATCCTTTTCGCTGTCATGACCTTCTGAACCATAATCGTGCATTGATCTTGATTAGCTCATATCTCGAAAGGCATTAAGGATCGCTTCTGCTGTAGTGAGGGAATTCTTGACTTTCGCCAGTTTCATGTCTTTCTGACAAGTTTTTCATCTGGC